AACAGACAAACAAACAATAAACTTCTAGAGTCTAAGTAGATCATCCTGGAACTGTGCAAACTGGAAAGGTAAGTCAGGTGATCATGGATTTTTAGATTTTCTATTTCGGTCCTTCAAGGTTATGAAACAATCTCTTTTATCATAATTATGATAATGATTATTTTCCATATCTTGGATTCCTTTTTCCTTTTAAAAAAAAAGGCTACCTGTTGCTCAGCATAGTAAGTCTCTAGAGTAGGCCTACTGAATCCATGGGGATTTATTTGGTGAGTTAGTTCGCCCCCTTAGTTCCTTTGATTCGATGGACCTAATCTAGTTTTGACTCACTGTGCAAAGCAACAGGATTTAAGCCAATAAAACAGTACGCCGCAGAAAGCAACAAGCTCAAACAGTAGTGGGAGTCATTGGGACCATTGCTCATCTTTTAAAACCAAAGTCCTTCTTGTCTACCCTGGTTGGCAGCTATCCTCACGGAAAGGTCTTCTCCATCACCACTCTTCTGATCCTTTGAATAGGAGACCCCATAGACTGAACCTGGGATCATCTACATGCAAGTATGTGTGCTCTGCTATCAAACTGTCATCTGTCAACAGGAGCAGAACTCAGAAAAAGTGATTTCTTTAGAGGGCAAGTCACAGAATCCCCTGGCCACCATGGCAGCTAGCTGTGGTAATTGATTGGTGGATTCTGGCACCAGCCACACTGCACGGCAGATTTGGGGATGCATGGTCTAAAAAGGGGTAATTTTCCCAAGCTCTGCACAGAGATCCTGTGTTGTTCCTTTAGCCTTCCATGTCAGGACACACATGCTGTTGCCTTAGCGTGATGCAAAGATCAATAGATAACTGAGGTCAAGGTAGTGCTGGGCAGGATGGATTGCAGTTGGGGCACCCAGCTAAAATTACAGCAGACACTGCGTGCTGAAGAGGCCACTTGAGCTTCCAGAGACAATGCCAGAATGTGCATCTAGGTATCTTATAGATAAAACATGAACGTTCTATTCAGCCTCCAGCCTGCTCCTTCAGGAGAATCTCATTGTGTTTATGTTCAAAGCATGCTGTTGCCAGAAGCATGCCTACATTCAAGAGTTAAAGCAGTTTAATCCCACTTCTAATAGTCATGGCTCTATCCCATGGAATCCTGGGAATTACTCTTGGACTGCAACTCCCAGAAATTCTGGTCAGCACAGCTAGGTGTGAAGGTTTCTGGGAGCTGCAGTCCAAGAACGCCTGGGTTACCCCAAGGTTGGGAACCACTGCTCTAGAGCATTTCCCTGAACTACAGCACTTTAACACACTTATGTACCATGCCAGATTACAATTCCCAGGATTCTGTAGAATGAAGTCATGGCAGTTACAGAGAAATCAAACTGTTATAATTTTGTAGGACTTATATACCCATATTTATGGCTTTATGTCAAGCTGGCAACAGTATTTAGGGCTGAAAGTTACTTCCAAGGAGTATGGATATATTGACTTCTTTCCTTCAACATGTGAACTGTGTGGCCTTGAATAGGTTGCACAGTCTGATCACCACCTGAAAACGGAATTGGTCAACAGCTTCTAATGACTTTATACTAGGGGTCTCCAAAGTACAGCCCGAGGGCCACATCCAGCCTGCCTTGCCTTTTTATCCGGCCTGGGCATAGGAAGAGAAGAGGACTCAAGCAATCCCCTACCCTTGCTGTTTTTGCAAAGACAGCTGGGGTGGGTGATCGCTTGGGTCCTCCTTTGGTCCTCGAAGATGTGTAAAATATATGATGCGGCCCTCATACTGAAAGGTTTGGAGACTTCTGCTTTATACCTAGAAAACCCTGGCAGGATTGCTATAAGTTGACCTGATGACACTTTGTTGTTAATTACAAAGGTATGAATCACTTGAAGGCAGCCTATCACCATGGAGGTAGGATTGTGGTTGATCTATCCAATGGCATTGGATGCATTGCCAGAGAATGTACATGTGCTTCTAGTGACATTGATGGGCCCACAATACTCCTAAAAGGTCAACTTGGTTTCTTAGAGACAGCACCTCCATTCCGGAACAGTTCGGACCCTGGTACCCAAGAAATATTAACTTTTTCTCAACATCTAATCTCAACAGGGTTTCAATGTAACTGGAGAACTGTTCTCAGTGCTTCTTCAGAGCAGAATTAAATGAGCTACTTGGATTGTTACTGTATAGATGCTTTTCAAAATGTGATTTGCTCTTCCAGTATTAGAGGCCCTCAAATACATAGCTCAGTGTGGGTTGTTTATAAATTGCTGGCTCCCTCTATGAGCCAGCAATCTATGAGCCAGCAACGATGATAATCCATCCAGGGTGATGGGTAAACCGTCAAGATATTTGTGGGCTCCAGGCAGGAAGGTTGGACTAACTTTGCTTTTATTAATTCCTAGGAATGGTACACCTCTGGCTATAATAGCATCAACCCCCTCCCTGCCCGTCTTCCACTGGGGTACTGAGTGTCAGCCCCCCCCCGATAGTCCTGTCCTCAGGTCCACCAGTTGCCTCCATTGGGGCAGATACATACAGGAACTGCAGAGAGCCACTAGGAATCCCAGAGGCTGCCCCAGCCAGCTCACACCCCACAAGTATGGTCTGTAGAGATGAGCTGTTGCTACTCCTGAGGATTTATTTCCCCCCTCTTGCAGCTGCTGCTGACATGTCTGTTGGCATTCATGCTGGCATCTTCAGTGCCTCTTCCAGATCAGCTGCCCCAGAGGTGGCAGTGGTCTTCTGCATTATGGTCTTCTGCTTGGGCATGGTGGCAGCAGGTGGGAGACCTGGTCAGGGACCCGAGCACATTCCTCTTCCACCTCAGCTACATCTGGCCCTGCTCCCTCTTCCTGAACCTCTGCTTCCCTCAGCTTTATCATCCCCAGCAGCCAGCAGAAAAAACCAATTCCCCTTCCCACTTCCCCTCCCAGGTGTTATCACCACTCTTTTCTTCCTCTTTTTCCTGGGTTGCCTGACTAGCTGCAGCACTGGTCTAAGGCCCAGCAGCCTCAAACTCCAATGGGCTTTCCATGAGGGCAAAAACAGACTGCCAGGGGCACCACAGGCGACCCCCTCAAATTGTGCTAATAATGGTGACCACTTTTCACATCTAGTAGATTTTTGTAATACTAAATATGTCATTTAACCATCTAAAATGTTAGTTCCCCATCACATCAAATTAATATCGATGTATTTATTTGTTAGAATCAGATCCCACCTTTGATGTGCTGGATGACTGTCACCCTGCCACTTTATCCTTACAACAATCTCATGAAGGTCAGGCTGAGATTAGGATTGGCCCATGGTCACTATTTAACCTCTTAAATTGCAGTTTTGGAAATAATTACCAACGTATACCTTAAATGTTACCAGTTACGGTGATTCTAAAAAACAGCAACAAAATAGATGGATGGCACACTAGGTATCACAAGATTTTTTTTGTCCTAGAGAAATGGACACGAACCACCAAAAAGGCAGTTTGTGATGGCCTGGGGCTAATCACAAGGAAATGAATCAATCTGCAGTGGCTCACGTCCGTCTTTGCCTCCCCACACCACCACCACGTGGCCTACCTTGCCACTGCTGTTACCTCAGCCGTCCCGGCTGGCCTGGAGAGATGATGGTGGCAGTGGAGAAGCCAGCTGGAGGAGCCAGGTCACTGTTTCTGCACATATGCCTGCCTGATCAACTGACCAGCAGACACACGCACAGAGGCAGCAACCCAGCTTCTCCAGGCAACCCAGGGAGGCTGAGATGATGGTGGAGATGGCAGCAGTGATGGCAATGGCCGGTAGACCAGGTTGACAGCAGTAGTGGGAAGGGGGCGGGTGAGGGATTCTGTTTTCCAGAAGCAAACAAAACACCAATCTTGGAAAAGTTTGGTGTTTCATTTTGATTTAGGAAAACATAATCCCCAAATGGTTCACAAAACAAATTATGAACCAGCCCAAGGAGTGGGGGTTGGAACTTTTGAGGCTTTATGGACAGATACTACAAGCCATGGGCTGTGGGAAATCAAAGCCCAAGAATGTTTGCAAGTTGGCTACATGATGATGCGTCACTAGCTGGTATCTTGCAAATCACCATCACGGCTCCAAATAACTGTCCATTGTGTGGTCTGGCCCTGTTTAATGAAAGATTTTAACAGTGAGCTTAATTGCAGAACTTAAATATTGTATCTACTTTTAAAGCGAAAGTACAGCAATTACAGTAATGCAGCCCCTCCTCCAGAAGGATTTTTCAATTTGATGTTTTGGTTTGTTACTTTGGTTGCCCCACACATTATGATGTTACATGTATCAGAACAACCACTTAGTTTTTTTTTAAAAAGGTGATTCCTAATACCAAGTTTAATGTCTACAAATCCTAATAAAGTGGTGCCTCGCTAAACGATGATAATCCATTCCACTGAAATCGCTGTTTAGCGAAATCATTGTCTAGCGAAAAGCATTTCCCTGTAGGAATGTACTGTAACCTGTTTAAGGCATTCCAATGGGGAAGAATCGTCGTTGTCTAGCGAAGATCGACCATAGGAAAGCCGCTTTGCAAACCGCCAATCAGCTGTTTAAATAGCTGTCTTGCGTAGCTTAGGTCCCGAAAACACCCATTTTGCGAGCGCGGAGGGAGCTGTCAAAATTGTTGTCTAGCGAGAATTGGTTTGCGAAGCAGGGACCAAACACTGTCCAGCAAAATTCCCCCATAGGAATCACTGTTTTGTAAATCGCTGTAGGGACTGCAAAAAGTCAATGTCTAGCGAAAAAACTGTCATGCGGGGTAACTGTCTAGTGAGGCACCACTGTATGTTTACATTTCATAGTATTTGTTAAACTGGGGAAAGCACTTGTCTAACTAAATGGCTAATATCAACATCATATGCCGTTGCTTATTCCAATTTTAACTGTTGGAAAATGGGATCAAAATTAGTCTACTTCTCTGATCTGTAAGTGCCTAAACTTGGGGGAAGAGGTAGAGAGAACAAAGAAAAGAAGGCATAACACTCACAATGGATTTAAGATGGTAAATATTTATTCATTTATAACACTGAAAAATGTAGTTGGTTCAAAGACAGCAATTTAATTTCATTGCTGTGATGCCTGGTGATTCCTGTTACAGAACATTAAAAATGAATATTTTAAAAAATCATATTAACATCACATGCATCAACAGCACACACAAATAATGGAGAGGTGTCACACAGAATTCATTGTCTCTTTCTTGTTCTTACCAAATGCCTGGAAGCACACCTTTGCAGAAAAAAAAGTCAGCTTTGTTACTTTGGCTTTTTACATCCTTCTGGTGTTTGGCCCACTCCTGCTTTAGGGATATACAGCCAAATATTTAAAAGGTGATTACCTGTAGGACGGAATGGAGATGGAAGAAGCATGTTAGAATGTCATATTGGAGGAATTTTAATTTCTGAAATCATCACCAGTGAGATGATTTTACCATCACTGGTGATTTTAGGAAATTAGACTCCCCCTACCCTGCATCCCCCAACAATATTCCCTTTAAAAAAGGGATCCCAAAGGAGCCTTGAAACCTTTAGGAGGGAATTTGAAACTTTTAATTTCCAAAAAGTCTGTAGTTGATGATATCATCAGCCTTACACAGAATTAAGTTGTGCAATGGGATTTCAGCCAGTGTTATGCACATCTTGCTTCAGAGGCTTCCTAGATAACAGAACTGCATATTTAGTGCTGTGGAAGCAACAGTGTATCTTTTGTGAAAATGCAAACTTCTTGGATCATGACACCAATCCAACAGTTCATTTTTAATGACTAATATAGAACAAGGAGACGGGAGGGCAGATGAGCTACATTTCTCTGTTCAACTTCCACCATATGTGGAATACAATTCATTCTGCAATTTAGGCACCAAATTTTCACATCCTTTGTATTGTACAAGTTGTTATTTTATTTATTTTATTTATAGCCTGCCTATCTGGTCTTGTGACCACTCTAGGCGGTTTCCAGATGCATAAATAAAAACATACAAATATACACAAAAATGATAACATCCGCTAATAAATTAATAGATTGTTCAAGATGGCAAAAGAAAAGAAGGAAGGAAGAGGTAATCAAGGATTAACAGGAGGGAAGGCCTGTACAAACATCCATGTTTTCAGTTGGCTTTTGAAGATACCCAGCGAAGGGGCAGTACGAATCTCTGGAGATTGTTCCAGAGGCGAGGAGCCACCACCGAGAAGGCCCAGTTTCTAGTTTTTTTCCTTCCAAGCCTCTCTCGGCGTCAGGCTCCTCAGCCTCACCTCCTCACTCGCACGGGTGATACGGGTAGACCTTGGTGGGAGTAGGCGTTCCGCCAAATTAAATTCTACCAACAGTAAAGCTACAGGTGTGTGGAAAAAAACTGTTCTGCAACACAGTTATTTACAGTACATGCTTTACTTTCTTTAGCAAAGTGTAATTCATCTTATGCATGTTGGGTTTATTCTACTGTTGGCTCACTCAGTCTTTTTCATAAGAAATGTTCAAAGCTTCAGATGCAATTACATCCCAAATCTGTCCCACTCCAGAGATACCGTTGTTACATACAGCACTGATGGTACCTGTCTGTCATGGGTTTGGAGGGAAAGTTCCATCCTATGGGGAGTGGAAGGCGGGACATCAGGAGGAGGAGCTGTACTGTATATATATGTGGAGCGTGTGTGGAGAAGTTTAGAAGCTGGAGTGGGAGTCTGTGTGTCAGACTGAGTACAACTGTGTGTCAGTTTGTACATACCTGATAGGTTCAGGTTTCTATATAGGTAGCCAGAACTGATAGGTTCAGGGTCTGGGCTTTACTTTAAAGTGTTCTGTGTGAACCAGACTGTTATATGTATATGTTTGGGACTTTGCCACGTTACAGTATCTTATTTACTTGATCTTTTTATTTACCCTGTTTGTTATTTAAATAAACCTTGTTCTTTTGTTTGTTAAAAATCCATTCCTGGTCTGTGTGACTCCTTATAGGGAATGGTTGGTGGCAGCTTAGTTAAAGGGTGGTATATCCCAGTAGGTCTGGGGTTGTCACAACCGTGTTTCCCCGAAAATAAGACAAGGTCTTATATTAATTTTTTCAGGGGATATTTTAAGTTTTTCATGTACAACAACCCACATTTATTTAAATACAGTCATGTCATCTTCTAGTTGCTGCACAATGGTTGAGGGCGGGGTTTCACTTACCTAGGGCTTATTTTGGGGGTAGAACTTATATTACAAGCATCCTGAAAAATCATACTAGGGCTTATTTTCAGGTTAGGCCTTATTTTCAGGGAAACAGGGTAGGAGGACCATCCCTTTTCATTGCAAATTCTTTTTTCAATCTACTCCAACACATACATTGAACCAGTTTCTCCCAAGAAACTGGTTCAATGTACTTAACAAAATTTTGTACTTAACAAAATAAACTTGTTGTGAAATGTGGTTGTAAATAGAGAAACAGGTAATTGTTATTCCTCAGAGTTGTGAAAACAAAATTCCTGTTTCAGCTCCAGCATCTGCCTCCATGTACGTTTCTACCCCGAAAGGGGGTAATTGATTTAAAGGATCCTTTAAAGATTAAATGTTATCTGCACCAGTTGGGTTACTGAATAAATCCTAGTCTTGCTAATATTGCCAGTATCCCATCTTCAATGAGAGTATCACAGATGGCTTATTAGAAGAAATACATTTTAAACTAGACAGAGAGAAAGTTACAGGGAAAAACAGACCTACCAAAAATACAAAGAAATACAAGAAATCGGGCCTTCTCGGCGGTGGCCCCCCGCCTCTGGAACAACTTAATTCCTGAGACTCGCGGGGCTCCCTCGCTGGCTACCTTCCAGAAGCAATTAAAAACTTAGATGTTTCGGCAGGCCTTCCCATCACATAACTCATGACCTCTTTCTTTCTCCCTTACTGTGCTATGCTTTGTGTTTTCCCATCATAATGTAGCGTTGTATGGTTTAGAATTGTTATTTACATGTTTACTGTACTATTTTTTAAGACTGTTAGCTGCCTAGAGTGGTCCTTGATTGACCAGATAGGCAGGATACAAATTAAATAAATAAATAAATAAATAAATAAATAAATACTACTACTACTACTACTACTACTACTACTACTACTACCACTAATACTAATAATACTAATAATACTAATACTAATACTAATACTACTACTAATAATAATAAAGGAATTCTCAGTAGAATTCCTTCATACTGCTGCTATTGTTGGGGTGGACGAAACAGGATAGCCATATCCCCTGTTCTGAGAGTATTCACCACATGAATTCTATCTTCCAAAGCTGCAGAGCTGTGATTTAAAACCATATCCTATGAACTCAGTGAATTTCATAATCTTGCTGTGTACAGGTACACATGCTACATGCACAGCTACACAGAGACAAGAACTGTTCAGTCCAAATGCAACTACTGTAGACCACCCCCCCTCTCTCTTTGCGCAGCTGACTTCTCAGGTTCAAATTTCACTTCCTTTACACAGTAATAAATCCATACAACACCTTGTACTCAGTACATCACACTGACAGATGGAATGGAACCATGTGTTTGTCTACATACTCAAGAAGTACAGTGGTGCCCTGCTTGATGATTACCCCGGTAGATGACGAAATCACTTCACGATGAGGTTTTTGCACTCGCTACTCATCACACTGACAGATGGAATGGAACCATGTGTTTGTCTACATACTCAAGAAGTACAGTGCTGCTCTGCTTGACGATTACCCCGGTAGATGATGAAATCGCTTCACGATGAGGTTTTTGCAGTCGCTACTGTGATCGCAAAACAATGTTTCAATGGGGAAAATCCACTTCCCGACGATCGGTTCCCTGCTTCGGGAACTGATTTTTCGCTTCCCGACGACCAAATCACCTGATCATTGGGTTTTCAATATGGCCGGCCACTGTTTTCCGGACCTATTTCCAGAAGAAGCGATCGAAAATGGCTTCCCCTATGGAGGATCTTCGCTTTACGATGAGGTATTTCGCCCACTGGAACACATTGAACCAGTTTTCAATGCATTTCAATGGGTTTTTTCTTTCGCTTGACGACGATATCGCTTAACAGTGATTTTAACGGAATGGATTAACATCGCCAAGTGGGGCACCACTGTACTACACAAGCCTATATTCATTTATCTATGTTGCTCTGTGGGGACCCCCAGTGCTAAGATCTTCGACAGTTGTTCCACTACTGGTATTTGACCTGAGGCACACAGAAGCCTGTGCTGCAGGGTCAAAAGACCAAGCAGTCGTAAGATCGAATCCACGCGACAGAGTGAGCTCCCGTCGCTTGTTCCAGCTCCCGCCAACCTAGCGGTTCGAAAGCATGTAAATGCGAGTAGATCAAGAGGAACCACTTCGGTGGGAAGGTAACAGCGTTCCGTGTCTAAGTCGCACTGGCCATGTGACCACGGAAGATTGTCTTCGGACAAAATGCTGGCTCTATGGCTTGGAAACGGGGATGAGCACTGCCCCCTTGAGTTGAACACGACTGGACAAAAATTGTCAAGGGGAACATTTACCTTTACCTTACTTTTATTAAACAGATGCATATCAGCTACAGTTATTGTTGTTTAGTTGTTAAGTCGTGTCTGACTCTTCGTAACCCGATGGACCAGCGCACGCTAGGCCCTCCCTGTCTTCCACTGCCTCCCGGAGTTGGGTCAAATTCATCTTGGTAGCTTTGATGACACTGTCCAACCATCTCTTCCTCTGTCGTCCCCTTCTCCTCTTGCCTTCACTTTCCCAACATCAGGGTCTTTTCCAGGGAGTCATTCTCTTCTCATGAGATGGCCAAAGTATTGGAGCTCAGTTCCTTCAGAATGGATAGGTTATCCATTGCAGTCCAGGGGACTCTCAAGAGCCTCCACCAGCACCACAATCCAAAAGCACCGATTCTTCAGCGGTCAGCCTTCTTTATGGTCCAGCTCTCACTTCCCTACATCACTACCGGAAAAACCATAGCTTTGACTATGCGGACCTTTATCGGCAAGGGGATGTCTCTGCTTTTTAAGATGCTGTCTAGGGTTGTCATCGTTTTCCTCCCAAGAAGCAGGTATCTTTTAATTTTGTGGCTGCTGTCACCATCTGCAGTGATCATGGAGCCCAAGAAAGTAAAATCTGTTACTGCCTCCATATCTTCCCCTTCTATTTGCCAGGAGGTGATGGGACTAGTGGCCATGATATTAGTTTTTTTGATGTTGAGCGTCAGACCATTTTTGTGCTCTCTTTCACCCTCATTAAGAGATTAATTTCTCCTCACTTTCTGCCATCAGAGTGGTATCATCTGCATATCTGAGGTTGTCAGCTACTGTAATTTCCCTCTAATGTTCTTTTTCCTGTCCTTTCCCTG